CACTCTATCCCCACCAAGCCGCTGGCACTAGGAAAAAAGGGCCAAATAACACGTGCTCAAACGTGTACAAGGTTTATGGCTTTTGTTTTATTTTTGTGTTCTTAGCGCAGAACTTTGATGAAATGTGTTTTATGCGTGTTCGAAAAAGTGTTATTTGGCCCTTTTCTTCCTAGTGTGGGAATGGCTATGCTATAAATTGCAATTGTGAAAATCGTCAAGAAACGGTTAAGGCCACCTCCAAAAAAATCACAAGTGACGTTCACACCCCACCTACAGTGGTCTTTGCTCCAGCGAGCGGTCCAGAATCTGCCACGATCGAGTTGCACCTAGCCAATGGGGAAGAACCGATTCCAAATTTGTAATGTTTTGCAAATGGTCATGGCGAAGATCGAGATGATCATTGGCAACACCACCGCTAACTACGCCTATAGATTAACACCAATGGTTGTGTTGTTGGGCTAGCTGGTGTTTGTGTTGATGGGAATGGAACAAGTTTGAAAATGTGGTTGTGGTAATCCAGTTTGCAATGTTGGAGATCAACATACACAACGGGAGGAGTCTGTTGGTAAGAAGGGTACCACGGTACAAGACAGCGGAAAGTAATTGGTAAGGGGAGGTCGTCGATTAACATCCCCATCAAAAGCTATCCGAATCAAAAGCTGGTAGGAATAGGTGAATTGCAGTTTACAAATGGCCAATTGTGCAATGCGAATCTAGCACGATATGAAGATGGGCTCCATCTCCCTAGGAAAAACACCAAGGCAGCTCAGTTGGATTGCCGTAGGAGCCTTGGCGAATCCCTGCCAGGCGGTAGCAGTGGCTGCGGAGTTCGTTGCCATGAGGGTGGGATGCTGGCAAGGGCCAAATTGGAAAAATTGATGGTGGCGATCAACGTCGGGGGCATTCAAATTTGAACTTGGCGATCGGCAAGGTCCTGATCCAGATACAAATTGTTGGTGATTGGATCTTTTTGGGTCGTGGCACGGTCCTGCTAGACAGTAGCAGTGGCAATGGTGCTGGCTAGCGTGTGTGTGTAGGTTGATAGCGATGGAACAAATTTGAAACTCTGATGGTGACGATCGGTCACAAAGGTCATTCGGGGCGAAGTCGAACTGCAGAGGAAGCACTTGCCTCCTTAGGTTTCGCTGGCTGTGTTTTCACAGCCTGGTAGGCTTAAGGCTGTCTTGGGAAATTCGGCATTCCTAAATCGCCAAATCGGCAGAACTGCAGTACTTTAGGTGCAGTTTCTGTGGCGGGTCAGATGGAAACCACAAAGGAAGCCCCTGTCAGGACACGAGAAGCGGCCCCCTAATGACAAACCTGAGCCTAGTCCTCAGGGCCGCTCATTTTCAACTATTGGAAATGGATAGATCATTGTCGATTGCATCTCATCCAAATCTGATGGGCAACATCACCCAACCCACGATCTTGATTGCCAGGGCTATATGACAACACAAGCCCATCTAAAGACAATCCACATGATCTTACAAAATACCAAGCCTGCGAGCACCTCGGACACCACGAAGAAAGCAACATTTGCTTCCCAGCTCTATTGTGCTATGTGCGGCTGGAGATCCATCATGGCACAATATATTATGGAGGCAAATGATGAATTCAAACACGCAGCCACGGTGCAACAGCGCGCAACCATAGAGTACATCTGCAACAAAGGCTGCAGATGGAGACAAAAGAGCATCCTAAGTTGTTCCCAATTCAAGAAAAAATATACTACTGTACGAAAATGATAAAATCAGAATATCCAAAACTGAGTGGAAATTTGGAACTTTTCACGCAACAGCCATATTCTGGCTGCACTATCAGAACCTGTTTGAATGCTGAAAGATGAAAGGAAATCTCGGTTGTGGAGAAACAACAACCCCCTAAACCTTCTTCCCGTGCAATATGCAGAACACAACAGATTTTAAATTCAAAAAGTTGGTAGTTCTGAAAATTTAAAACTGGAGTGCGGGCGGCCCATGGGCCGGGTTACCCCACAGGAGCGCCACGCGCATGGAAGGCGCCGGGCTCCGGCCTTGTAGGGGCCGGGTTAGTAATACTCTATTCTCAGCTGCAGGAAACCAGCTTTTTCAAGGCGCACCCCATGCAGGCGGCAGTCCTCGTCGAACACACCAGGCGCAGAGGGCTGACTGGGCAGCTGCAGTAGGGCGGTGTGGCGCTGCCGGCACTGGTTGTGTAGGCACCACACGGTGTTCATCGTGCAAGCGTATATTGCAGCCGTCCGGTTGCCACACCCACAGCGTGTCCATGGCCCAGAGAATGGGGAGCGTTTAGCACAGATTTATGGAAATTTCCTTCTTTGGAAATTACCAAAATCTTGGTGCCGGCCATTGTAGCCCTAGTAGGTTTTGGTTGTGCAGCTGTTTCGGCTGTTTTGGCCTTCCTAGGCATTTGGGATTCAGCACACTCGAACAAGAACAGTATGGGGTACGCACATGCCGCCATGGCATACTTTATATCCAGGTTATGGGCAGAATATGGGAACCCCAATACCCAGGATATGGAACTTTCTCCGTCGCCTCCACGATGATAAAACAAGCCAAAAAAGCGTATTTTGCGGGAAAGCATGTCGAAGCAATTCTTTATATAGCAGGGGGCATGGCATTGGCTGCTTGCCATCGTCACATTTACGGATCATTATTTTGAAACGGCCACCGATGCGATCATCAAGGCGAGTGCCTTTGCTTCCAAGTGCCAACGCACTGACACTGGTTGATGGGATGGCGGAAGTGCCTAAAGTGAGTGCGTGTACAAATTACGCAACGGGTGGATCACGACACTCCGTGGTTCTGGGTCCCTGCACATCCCCTCCCAACCCCCCCACCCCCCACCCTCAGAGCGCCTGCCAGGGAGGCGGAAGTTTTGCGGCTGCATTTTTCGAACGTGATTGTGTCACTTGCATCAGTTTGGGCGCTGATGGATGTGCATGCCGCCACAACATTTGTTCCTTATATTGTAATTGTCCCCTGCTCCAAATAACCAACAAGGAAACTACGAAGGCAGGTAGATTCAATTCGAAATGTCCGTTCGCAACATATCATATTTAGGCTGTCGCAAGTTAACGCTATGCAAGGTTCAAAAATGCACATCAAAAAGACCCGTGGAGGGTTGGAAATCACGAGTGACGTGTCTGGAAAACAGTCGCAGTGCGCGAGGCATGGACAAATTCATAAAAGTTCACGAAAACTCGCACAATTGGGTGAAATTTTCTCGCTCTGCACGGAATGGCGAGTGCGTTGGTAGCTCACTGCAGTTTGAATCGCGAACTTCGGAACTGAGCAGCCCCGTGTGAAACGTGACTTTGTGCGCTGTCAAAAGCATCACCAATGCAATGTCACAAGCAGACTTCTGCGATTATCTTGACCCACCACATTACATGCAGCACCGCGCAGTGCGCATACCACTGTACTGCAAAGTGCACACGGAGCTGCTCAGTGCCTCACTGCTTGTGCTGGTGTTTCGTTCCTTGCGTTGCCCTTCGGGTCGTTGACTGCCGGCTCGATTTGACTGCCAACGTTGTCTTTGTTCATCCCACCTTACACCATGAGACTTTCTGCCATGGCCTGTTTTTCTTTGGGGACAAAATCAATGGGCGTTGGCACGGAGCGATTCTGGCTAAAATGTTGTTCGGGTCGCCAATAAATGTTAGGCATTATCAGCCATCACCGTCACTGGTATCTCAGCCGCATGGCTCCCCGTGAGGAGCGAAAAGGTAATGATGTGACAACCCGGGATCTAAATCAAGGGCGGAGCAGGTGGAAACAAGATGAAGCACATCGTTTGTGTCAGAGGCCGCAACTGCAAGGAAAGGAGGCAACAGTTGGCTGAATCAGAAAACTGCTCAATCAAACTGATTCACCATCAGTGGTTTCAAACGCTGGGCCAACCAGCCTGACAGATTGGACCAACGGTGATGTACACAGGCTCACATTGCAAGCATAACGCCCGCTATCTCATGCCGACCAGTCAGAGAGTTCTGAAATGATGTTATGGGGGCTGAAGAGTGTACTGATGGACCAGGGGGCATCAGTAACAGCTGTAAAAAGTGAAATGATCTTGCTACAGCATCCATCCTTTTTGACTACAAGGAAAAGGATCACGGTTGTTTAATACCTTCGATCTGCTTGTGGGTCTGCAACACATTCACCAGTGCTGTAGATATAGATGTGAAATGAACCCTGACATGTCAAACAAATATGGCTGCACTTTTCCGGTAAATCACCAAGAGATTGGATGTGCACATTCACTCTCAAGACCAGCATTATTGGCAGATATGAGCCCCAAGGGATATGTAAAATGCGTCCACCCATGCACACAGCTGTGGGGCACAACTTTGGCTATTCGGAAAACTGGTCAAGAAGGCAGGTCGAGTCAAGCTCTCTTTATAGTTTATCACCTTTGGCAGTGCTGCACTATGTATAGAGGAGCTGAGAATAGAGTATGACAATGGCAGGAAGATTGTGGGCTTACAGCAGGATCATATCCTGTTTCCAAGCATCAGCAAATCGGTGACATCATCAACCAGCCACGTCAAACAGTGGAGCAAGTGTTGGGCCATCTCAGACCACTGAACAACATGGGATTCGTGAAGCGTTCATGGATGGATTGCGCACAGAAAGTGCCAGACCCGAAAGGTCTGACATCATACGGATCCTAGACGATATTGATGATGTCAGACAGGCAAGAGTTCACAGATTGGGAGGAACTCACTGGGCCAAGGCAAGACGAGGTCCCAATGGGACCCCATCAAAGTTGTTGGTGGGGCATACCAGCGATGCACAAGCTTGAAGGAAGCCATCACGGAGGAGTGGCAGAAAGAACAACACAGAAATGCAGAGGCATTTGAATTCAGCCAGGAGCTGGCTGAACATATTTTGGAGGGGCATAATCTGGCTGGAATCCCAGATGCTGAACTGGAAAGTTGGAAAGCCAACTTTCAATTTGCTGTTCAATCGACAGTCTCTGATGCCCTCAGGGATGTGATGGAGCGTCTCAGAACTGGCCACAGAAAATATGCCCCAAGACCGTCTGCTTTGGAAGTGGCATTGAAGCTGGTTACAAAGAAGATTGAGCTGTCAAGGACCAAGGCCCTCGGAGCCTATTTTGATGACCCTCGACAGGACATCAACTTTGATTTTCTGGCTGAGAATGAGCAACATTCTGTGCTCCTTGAGGAATTTCGGAGGCTAAGCGAGCTGGGAAAGGAGGACAACCTAGCTGGAGAGCTTTCGCCATCGGCCCTTCAGGCCCGTGTGGATGTAAGGGAGTCAGAGGAGGGTAGGCGGAAGGAAATGAGCCGGGACCATGTCCAGCTGGAGGTGCGAGATTGGCTGCGTGGAGGACCCCGAGTGGAGCTGCCTCAGGTGGGTGAATCAGGATCTGAACGCCACTATTAGTGGTGTGGCATTGCTATACAGGCAGCCCTAGGGTAGTATGGCTGCTCGATGGCTGTGTAGGCGCTGAGGCAAAGAGAGGGGCTGTGATGAGATCCAAGCGGCGAAAACACCACGTGAGGCTCCAAGGCTGGGCGGGTGTCATTATGTTGTGCAGCGTTTTGGTGATGGTAAGGGTAATTGATGATGGCATAAGGCTTAGAAGCTTGGCGGGGCGGCTTGGGGATAGCAAATGCTGTGACAGGGCACATGAACAACGTGATAGCTGCCAGAACCGTAATGACTGTCAAGTGACATGGTTGACCCAGACAGGCGCTGACACCAGGCGCTTGGGCATTACGGTACACGTGTGCGTTGCTGAATGATGATTGGACTCAGTAAAAGTGTCAAGGAAGCTGGCATTATGAAGAAAAGATGTGACCTGATCTGTCACATTGTCGCCGACAAGTTGAGGGGCTGATGCTGGGGGAGAGAGCCATGCGAGCCTTGGTGGGAGGCTGCATGCAGCCTGGTCGTCGGAAGACCTTGCCACAGGTCGATCTCAGTCAGAAAGGATGGCAACGCCACCAGGAATCGCCAGCTGGGTGCGAGGGGAGGATGAAATTGCGGAGCTGTGTGAAACAATGGACGGGAGATGGAGAGCCCTGATGAGAATGCCGCCAGGACTCTTCGAGGAGCTGAAGGACCTTCGAGGCGAACTGATGAGGGCGCGAAAGGCAAGATTCTGGATCAACGCCATGTATAGGATCGAGGGAGAGGTGGAGAAGATGGCACGCGCGGAGGCCAGCCAGCTGCTTGCCTCGACGGAGTCGGTTTGGAGGGGCTGCGCACGGCAACCCCTTGTCCTTGCACCTGGGATCCGTGGGAACAGGCTGGAGTCGATGCGAATGGGTCTGAGGGAAGCTATGCTGCGGTACCAGCTTGATATGTTGCGGTATAGAGCTGCGGTGGAATCGGATAACAATGAAAGATCAGCCATGCAGGCAGTATATGATTGGCTGATAGGGATCGCTTGGGATTTGAAGGTGGTGAACATCACCATTCTGTAAGAGGTTGATAGCCTGTCAAGTTGGCGGATAGAAGTACAGGATACTGATTGCAAGGCGACGGATTCTGCTTGAAGTGACCTTGATCCAATAAGGGGATGGCTGGGGATAACATTGGAACATTTTGATGGTAAGGCTGAGAGCAAATGTCGCATCTTTGTCCAATGATCTGTGGGGAGAAGATGGCTGCGACCCATTCCTGTGCGACCGATCTGTGGCGCGAGGCAGGGGGAGGTGCTGGACCAATATGCTGGCAACTGTAAGATACCCTTTGCGACAAGGCTGCGACGGCTGCGGGCAGCGAACCCCAATGTCCTGAGGAGACAGGGGAGCCCAACGCTGAGATTTCGGTGTGTTTCATCGTGCTGGATTTGTCTGTTACCGTTGCTTCACATGTGAACCATTGAACTGGGCTGTCGAGTGTGCGAAGGAGAACAGCGCCAGGTGTTTGTGTTGTTGGCTGCAAATATCAAACCAGCAGATTCCAGCAGACCCTCGTAAGCGAATTGAAGTCAGCTGGTGCGATTGATAATCGTGTCCAAAGAGTGGCACGATCGCTGTACGTTGCGCAGCCTAAGAGCAGCGTTGCCAGTCTCATACAGAATATTGAGTGCCGAATTCTGGTCGTGAGCTGTGGGCGTCCCGAACGATGGGCGTCCATAGACTAAGTGCCATAGTTTACTCCATCGTGCCAGGCACGATCACAGCTGTATGGTTGTGAGCCACAGCAGTGAATGATTCCTAACATAAAATGGTCTGTCCTGAAGCGACTACGTGAGATCATGGCATCTGAAGCTGCAGGCCTTGCATGAAACTTGGAACAGATCTTGCCAACGAACGACCAACCCAGTGGCCGACTCCACAAAATGTTTATGACACAACTGGCAAGGGGTATTGCTTTTGCTGATGCTCTTTTCCAGATACAGTTACCATCGGTTACAACATCATATCCTTGGTCACAACTTCTTCCATATCTCGATGTTGCCAAATGTGGCTGGGACGTTTTCTAAAGTAGCACATGCAGCAGCGATTGTAGTTGAATTAACTAGCACTTGGGAGGGCGCAGGGGCTATAAGAGGGGAGGGGCGGAGTCGAATGTACGGGGGCGCCATACATATCCGATAATCGGCACCTGATCATGGAGCTAACCAACAGGTATGTTGGCCAGTTTGCTTCCGTTATGTGGCTCTGTGCAGGGTAGCGCATGTAACAATGCAGACTTTCAACACAGTGTTGGGCATGCAAACTCGCCACGATTTGTGGTCACAACAAAAGGGAGCACTCCAAGGCCCTACAAAGCCCCATGTTGTGCATTTTGTAGCGACCACTGGCCAGTTTTTTGGCTGATTTGGATATTATTTTTTTGCTGGTATACTACCGCGTCACTTCCACGTTCAGGCAGCTTTAGGTGTGTGCATATAGGCATTGGTCAATGCACATGCTTGAATGTTGCACTGGCCTGCAGCAAAGGTTCCATTCCAATTTGACTCCTTGGTTCAGGCGGAAGTTTGCTCCAGTGGCTTAAGGCACAGTACCGATTTGTCCTCTTGTCGAATTGCACATGCAAGGTATAGTGCATGGCAATCCATTTCAATTCTTGTTCATCTGGGAAGGAAAAGACAGGCAAAGCAACACACAGTATGAAGAACAAACCTTGCCCACATGTCATATGCTGACCACATGTTTCATGGCCTTTGAGCACGTTGCACACAAATTTGAAGGAATGCAACTTCCCTAAACAAAACATCTGCTTTCAGCGATGTCTTTCAATACATATGTGCATCAATGGCAAAACTCACAGATCTTGTGGAGTACAAATTGTCATCAGTTCTTCACATTTTCCTCTGGCAACGAATCCTTCTTAGGGAGTCCTTCTTCAAGGGGTTCCCTCTCAGGGAGCAGCTGACCACAGCACTCGCACCTCCTTGCCATTGCCTTAGCATGTTTCAAGCCATGCTGGCAACCCATCAACTGCTCTAGGATAGGAGGAAATACAAGCTTCACCATGGCATCCGCTACTGAAAGCGTCAAAGATGCCATTGCTCCTGTGATTGCCCACCCATCATCTTCCTCAATAACAATGATGAATGCAACTTGGAGGGCTACCTGTGGCAAGTCTTCTAGCAAAGCAGCAAGGTAGGCCACCCAAGCAAAGTGCTTGTGTGGCATCCCACCATTCTCAACCACTCTTTTGCCATCAACTTTGAGTTCTTCCCCCCAAGGCAAGTGTTTGATGATTTCGACATCAAGGAGCAAAAGGCCAGGAAATAGCAAAAGCCAGTCATGGGTCTGCATACGCTTTCCCTCCTTTAAGTGGTCCATGAGTGACAATCTCTCTCCCATTCCATCGCTGTCTGCATGCTTGGTCCTCAGGCCCCAGTATACAAGAAAAACTGCAGACAACTGAGACAACACCACCACTACAATACTCGCAACACCAATTGCAAGGAGCTTTGTGTAAGAACCATCTTGTGTAAAATCTCCACCTGCCACTCCTTTCTTTGATTTGGAGTCCCACAGAATGAAAACTGTGACAATGAACCCCACATCTGATAGCACATCAGCCAATGCCAACAGATGAGATGCAAACATGTCCTTCACTGTGTCCACTGAGATTCTCTCTTTGTAAGGGGAGCTGTTAGTCACAGCAAGGTAGTAGAGAAGCAAGAGAGATATAAAAACCAACATCCCAATGATGGCAAAACCGACAAGTGTGGGAGTCAGTGTCTCCAACACACACACTTTCTTCACCAACCTTTCAGACACAACAAAGGCAGATGACATTGGAGACATGCTCTCCCATTTCCGGCAACCTCCTTGGCGGTAGGGAAGTGGATCGCTTGAGACAAAATCTTCAATTAGCTCACCATTTGATGTGATCCTTGTTGTCCCATCGACAATAGCCAAACTCTTCAAACTGACATTTTGCAGGTTTTTGTTGCCGTCAATTACCACATCTCCCTCTACCCTTGCAAGGGAACCAAACCCATCCACACTTTCCAAGTCTGGGTTGGATGAGATGGTCAGGCCATCAACAAATTGATCTATTTCTCGAAGATCTTTATCTCCTCTCAATGAAATCAAGCTGTCAAAACCTCGAATGGAGCCCAGTCCGATATTGGACGTGATTGACAGATGCCCGCTCAGGCTCCCTCTGAGATTATTAAATCCGAATAATTTACCCCATACAAATTTGTTGTCGTGGATTGTCAAACTGCATCTCCCCACGGCATTAGAGCATACAACCTGCAACTTTGAAAATGATAGGAACAACAAAGAGTTGCCTTCGAGTACCAATGAGCCCCCAACATTAACCAGACTTGGTAGCAAGTCGTCACCAAATAACCCCCCTTCAACATCAAAGGCAACATTCTGCATGATGAAATTTCCATTGACATTAACCAGTTGCGGAAGCAAAGTTGCCATACGAACAGGAAGGTAGTCTCGACTTGATAACAAGACCTTCCCATTCACTTGGGTGATGTTGCCCAGGCCGTTCAGATCAGTGAGGTGGGCATTGTTTTCAATCAGCAAGTCCCCATTTACTTGGGCGATGTTGCCCAGGCCGTTCACATTAGAGAGGGTGTCATTGTCCTCAATCCGCAAAGTCCCATTCACTTGGGTGATGCTGCCCAGGCCGTTCGCATCAGAGAGGGTGGCCTTGTTCCCAATCCACAAGTCCCCATTCACTTGGGTGATGCTGCCCAGGCCGTTCACATCAGAGAGGGCGTCGTTGTCCTCAATCTCCAAGTCCCCATTCACTTGGGTGATGCTGCCCAGGCCGTTCACATCAGAGAGGGCGTCGTTGTCCTCAATCAGCAAGTCCCCATTCACTTGGGTGATGTTGCCCAGGCCATTCACATCAGAGAGGGCTGCATTGCGCCAAATCCGCAAGTCCCCATTCACTTGGGTGATGCTGCCCAGGCCATTCACATTAGAGAGGGTGGGGTTGTTTTCAATCCGCAAGGTCCCATTCACTTGGGTGATGTTGCCCAGGCCGTTCACGTCAGAGAGGGCGGCATTGTTCCCAATCCACAAGTCCCCATTCACTCGGGTGATGCTGCCCAGGCCGTTCACATCTAAGAGGGCATCGTTGTCCACAATCACCAAGCCCCCATTCACTTGAGTGATGTTGCCCAGGCCGTTCACATCAGAGAGGGCAGCGTTGTCCTCAATCCGCAAGGCCCCATTCACTTGGGTGATGCTGCCTAGGCCATTCACATCAGAGAGGGCGGCGTTGTGCCAAATCCACAACCTCCCATTCACTTGGGTGATGCTGCCCAGGCCATTCACATCAGAGAGGGCAGCGTTGTCCTCAATCTGCAAGCTCCCATTCACTTGGGTGATGCTGCCCAGGCCATTCACATCAGAGAGGGCGTCGTTGTCCTCAATCAGCAAGTCCCCATTCACTTGGGTGATGCTGCCCAGGCCATTCACATCAGAGAGGGCGTCGTTGTCCTCAATCAGCAAGTCCCCATTCACTTGGGCGATGCTGCCCAGGCCGTTCACATCAGAGAGGGCATCGTTGTCTTCAATCCGTAAGCTCCCATTCACTTGGTTGATGCTGCCCAGGCCGTTCACATCAGAGAGGGCGGCATTGTGCCAAATCTGCAAGTCTCCATGCACTTGGGTGATGCTGCCCAGGCCGTTCACATCAGAGAGGGCGGCATTTTCGTCAATCCACAAGCTCCCATTCACTTGGGTGATGCTGCCCAGGCCGTTCACATCAGAGAGGGCAGCGTTGTTCCCAATCCACAAGGTCCCATTCACTTGGGTGATGTTGCCCAGGCCATTCACATCAGAGAGGGCATCGTTGTCCACAATCGACAAGTCCCCATTCACTTGGGTGATGCTGCCCAGGCCGTTGACATCAGAGAGGGCGGCGTTGTTCCCAATCCGCAAGGTCCCATTCACTTGGGTGATGTTGCCCAGGCCGTTCACATCAGAGAGGGCGTCGTTGTCCTCAATCCGCAAGCCCCCATTCACTTGGGTGATGCTGCCCA